AGAGAAAGGTCACTATTAATACATGACAGGTGCACTCAGCAGAGAGGGAAGGGCTGAAGTGGTGTATGTAAACCACTCTACTGCACTTTCACTATGGGACACAAACAGTTTGTATAATTATAAGAAGCCAAATAGATTCATAGCACTTTTTGTCAAATAGAATAAGCATATTATATCATAGCTCATAACTTACAAGATAAAATCTTGGGTTAACAATCCATTTGTACCAAGTTTGCTTTGCTAGATTAACATTTACTTTCTCAGGAATCAAAAACTGAAAGAGGAGGGAGGAGGGAAATCCTAATCCAATAACAACTGCTGACATAATCTAAATAAAAAATTATTTTATGATTTTCATAATTAAAATTCCTAAGACAGCAGACATCACTGTGATCAAAAGTAGGATTAAAGGTCGGAGTTCTAAAATATTGGCTATAGCCAAAGATTTATTACTTGAGGTATCATTTCCATAGGTGAAATTAAATCATTATTGCACTTATGCATGCTTGTTAATGCGGGTTTGCAATATAAAACTAGGCTAATATACCGTCAATTTTTAATCAAAAGCATAGGTGATTTGACCTTTTGAAAAGTGCTTTACACTATAGTTAAGTCATATTCAACTCTAGCATCAATGTAATGTCAGGACAAGTGTAATATTGTAAATCCCCATTAAGATACCATACAAGATGATTTATTGGCGAGAGTAATATTTGGTGAATTTGCCTGTAGAAAGTTATTGGCAAATTTTATATTGGTAATTTTGTGCCATGTGCCATAATCTGTCATTGAGCATGCTCACAGTTTGAAACAAAATGGCGGATTTTATATTGGTGATTTCTTCATAGAATCGCCAATTGCCAATATTAATTCCTGGCAAATAAATCATCTTGCACGGTAGCATCATAAAGTTGTTACATTACTGTACCAAGAATATGTTAAGATCATCTGGTGTTAATGGTTTATCTCCAGTATTTTTACTGCTGTCGTCAGAATAAAACTTTAAGAGCAACCAAAAGCATCCAAAGACAACAAGGTTTGCAATAATAGTAAAACTATATCTAATAAAAGTGATCAAAAGTAACTTAGAAAATATCTTACCTCAATGAATTCAATTGGACTTGGGTTCTTTTTTGAACACAAATTTCAGGAAGGAGAGCTAACTGGCCAATTTGAATTGATGCCCAGCTAAATTGAAAAATTATAGCAAAGCAACAAAAATAAATAACTTGGTACACCTCGGATGCATCACTGCACCCAAGACATTTGTACCACAAGAAGAACATCACTAATGCAAGTGTGATAAGACCAATCAGGTGGAATATTTTCCTTCTCCCTGGAATTTTACAAGAACATTTATCAGACCACATCCCTACTAAAGGTGTTGATATAGCTCCCCCTACTTGAGCGATCAGGACAATGTTGCCAGCATTTTTAGCCGAGAGTCCCAAAACAAATTGAAAAAAAGAGATATTGTAAGGAAACCAGACAGCAATAGCAAGGACGGTAAAGAAATTGCCCAAGGCGTATGCTATTTTTCTGTGTGGCCTCAATAGTTGCTTCTCAGCTTTGGCTTCAGCTTCAGTGACATTTTGCGATCTCTCCATTGTACAGATTGCTCAGTCTGCATATGCTCCTTCTCGGCGCCGCCAAGCCCAGCCCCCAGAAAGAAAGTAGATGTAGTAGTAGTCTAGTAGACTACTAGTTCACAGTATAAAAGCGTAGGCCTATTCATAGAAGCACAACAGATAACACGAGCACAGTCAGACGATTACCTTTTAAAGCTAGATCTGTTACTACCTATTGATTTCATTTCTCATCGGATCTTTGTGCCTAACAATTACAAAGTAAGTCTATAATGCATGCATGCAGCGCTAAGGCTAAGCCCAATGGCAATGGATAGGGAAAAATCTAAAAATTTCCATTGAAAAGTATTGTCGACCGCCAGTAGTGCAGTAAATTACCTCAGAAAAACACTTCATTGTACTAGTCTGGCAAGCCAGACTAGCATTGTACACAACCAGTAGTCCGAGGGTTTCCCATGCAGTATAGTGCTCAGCTTTTTGCCCGCTCATTTGTTGTGCTATTTAGCTAGCTTTAATTGTAGAGAACCCTGATCAATGAATGGCTGGAAGAGAATTCTACAATTTTATATCTAGTTTGAGCTGATTCCCATTAAAATTAGATTTTTATAAATTTTATAGTACACAGTCTCAGTCCAAATTTATTAAAAAGCAGTTAGAAGAGACAGAAACTGCAGTCTTTGGACAACTCAAGATAGCAAGCTGAGATTTGGAACGCAACCACAAAAGGTATAATTGTCATAGAAATTAGAGGCATTGCAATTGTATTGTTGAAGAAAAGTAGTTCAAATAATTGATTCGTCTGAACTACAGTCTCTGACTCTAGTTTGAGCTGAGTCTGATCAAAATTGAATTCGAAAAAATCATTTGTAAATTGCTCTGAAAGTCATGCTTGTAAGTGTGATCGTTTAGCATGCTTAGTGGGAAACCTTCTTTCATGACAGTTAAACTCAGTGAACTGCCAGTTTTTATTAACAAGCCATGTTTGTGTTTTGTGCAAAAACATGTAAACAAGATAACAAGCGTAACAATGTAAAAATATTTCTATAATTGTTTTCACTGTGAGACTAATTGACCCAAGGTCTGCTCTTGATTATAGATATATGGTAGATCTTTGCATAAACCTTGCAAGTTGGCCTGTTTGTTTAATTTGACCACAATTACAAGAACACACCTCACTTACCATTTCCACTGTATAAATTTGTGGAGGTGCCTTTGATGCACTCACACACTATAGTACAAAGGTTTGTGAGCTGTGATTTGCATGCTTACATAAAGGTAGTCAGAAATCTATTACTGTACTAGTGGATGTGAACTGTAGCTGAAATTTTGCACAATTGTAGCAATATTGCTGGTATTATGCTCTGTAACTTACCTCAATATCATTTTTTTCTTTATGCAGAAAAATGATTCGTTTGATTTTAAAAGCAAAGAGTGTACTGCAGTCTCATTCAACACTACAATGCAAAGTAACTATGTCAAGTTACTCACCAAAAAGGTCATCATTGACACCACCTTTAATGAGGTCGTGCTTTTTTACAAAAAAAACTCGACAAGGGCTTGAATGTGTAAAGAAATATCAGCCAGATAGCGTAATTCTTGATCTTGAAGATTCAGTTCAGTCGCACGAAAAACCCTCCATTAGAAAACTTTATTTGAATGGCATTAAAGATGGCCTTTTCTCTGGTGTTAGTGTTTACATCAGGAGCAGCTCAATAGATTGCACAAGTGAATTTATTGAGGATATTAAAACTTTCACTGGGACTGGAATAACTGGCTTTCTTTTACCAAAAGTTGAGAATCGAGAAAGTGTATTGGAAGCAGAAAAAATTATACTACAATACGAGAATGAGAGAGGACTTCAAAAGAATAGTCATGCATTCTCAATATTAATAGAAACTCCAGCTGCATACTTTGAAGTACAAAATATCTTATCGTCATCTAAACGTATTTCTTCAGTTATTTGTGGTAGTGCAGATTTTACAGCTGAAGCTCTTTGCGATGATCATTCTCCTACATATGATACATTTTTTACTCAAGTTGCTCTTGCTGCCAAGGCAACAAAGAAAGTTGCTGTATGGGGTGTTCATGACAAACTTGATGATCATATAGGTTTCCAGAGCAATTGTTCCAAAATGAAGAGATGTGGATACGATGGGGTTCTTGCCTTGACGCCAAAACAAATTTTACTTGCAAACCAAGTCTATTCTCTTTCTCATAGCGAAAAAGACTGGACTGAGAGAGTGTTGAAAAAATCCACACGTATCAATACAATTCGTAAATCAGTTCAAGAAAGTCGGCAAATGATAGGTCCTCCTCATAAATTAAAGGCTAGTAATATCCTTTCTAGCAGAGTAGAAATGGGAGCGATTCCTTCTAAGTCGATTCGAGGTCATGCTGCTTCTTCTAAAGGAATATGTGCTGACCTGGCAATTGGTGAAATAGTGCCTGCACCTCGTGAAGTTTTCATTACTGACAGTTGGAAAACAACTTGGGAGAGCTCATTCATTAGTTCTAGAAGGTGTTACGATAAAAAGAATGATGCATGCATTCCATTTGCATTAGCTGCAACATTAGCAGTTGCTTTTTCTGTATCTAATCTCTCTTACTATGCAAGAGTTCACCTTGGTTTCAAAAATATATTTCAACATAGGCCTCTTCTAACAGGTGACAGAGTACGTGCTATGTTTCGAATTGACTCTATCAAGTCAAAGAAAGGGAGTGATAGCATTCAGTATTCAGTGGTTCATTCAACACATTGGCTGGTCAATCAAAACGATGAAATAGTTTTACAGCTAGAAAAAATAACCATGTTCCAGCCTGA